CAAATTGATCTAAATTAATCCACAATATACTCACACTCACACACAACACACAAACATACACAAGCAAGAACTCATGAATAAACATGAAAATCAATCACTTCTTTTTTTATTGTTCATTTCTGTTTACACTTAAATGAATCACACGCAACTATAAAAAAGCAAAAACTATCATCAAACTTGATAATTGATTGAAAGCGATCGAAAAACAAAACAAAACATCAATGCTACTTCTTTTTTTAAAAAAAATATTTCTTCTGCTTCAATAATTTTTGACAAGTTCTTCACACCAACCATTACTACACACACACACACACAGACAAATGAAACTTTCAGTTGCCCTTAAGGCTTTTATTCGTCTTGATTCTCATTTGGTGTACTTTTACTTGGTTGACTTGATTGCCTTCTTCCTTGTTGTTGTTATTTCGTTTATTTATGTGTTTATTGTGTTGAAAGGATCGGTGATTTTTTTTTAGCATGATGATGATAATCATGATTATCTGATCCGATGATTGTAATGATTGCTGCATTGATAATGATTAGTAGGATATTTTACTGAGCTTTTTTATTTTTTTATTTTTTGGTAATATCTAGAAGAGTATTGACACCATTGTCTAGAATAAATTCAGACACATTTAAAGCTTATAAATCAATGCGTTGAAAAATTGTGCTTTCTTTTTGAAGTATAATTTCTATGGGATAAATTTTTATGTTTATTCATGTTAATTGAGCTCTGTCATTTCATTACTGTGGTAATCTCTTTGATATAAATAGAGTTATTGATTCTCTTGTCTGCATGGCTGTTACTGTTTGTTCATTTTTCGCTCTCTTTTTTTATTCAAGTAGATAAACAAAACGATCTATGGTGTAACTGATTAAAAGGGCATACAAAAAATATCTTAAATATTAATTCCCATTATGAATTATTTTCATCAACATCAGTGTAAACAGATTTAGTTATATAACTTATGAAATGATACAATAAAAATTTAGAAGTAAACGAAACACCACCAGTTTAAAATCATGTTCTTTTATTGAATATTGAAAAGTGCAAGATCCATGAGAAAGGGGTTACATCATTGAGTGAGTGACCTTATAGTGAATGAATGCGGAAATTAAATATCATTTCTACTTGAAAAAATTAATCAATGATATATGTTTAATCAAGTGTGTGTATGTGACTAAAACTACACCTCCTACTCCTACTCCTACTACTACCATCAATAATCATAAAAAGAATAAAAAGAATTTCTACTACTGCTACTGCTACTACTACTACTGAATAAATCATAAAAAAGTACAAAAGGTTTGTTGTTGTTGTTGTCACTCAGTAATGTGTCAATTCCAGCGAAAAAGGCTATGATTATTAATTTACAAATAGTTGAAGATTATGTTGTGTTTTTTTCTTTCTCCTTCATTGTTAAGCAGAAGAAGAAGAAGAAGAAGAAGGAGAAACAATTAAAAGATTATCATTTTGAATAATAATAATAATAATACTCCTTATTCATATGAACTAATGTGTTGTGATTAATTTTCTTTTTTTCTTTTTAATTCAATCATCAGTTAGTAAGCGTATTATATTTAGATTATGAAATAAAAAAAAATTACTTGTTAAATCCTGCTGAAATTTTGTCATTTGTGAAATCGTTTACAATTTTCCTTTCTAGAAAATTATTTTACAAGAAGAAGACTTACAAAGAACTAGGAAATTGATGTTTATTTGAATATCATTAGCTTGTCAAATCAGAAACCATTTTTGTGTTTAAGTTGGAAAAAGACAAAGAAATTTAATAAAACAATGTGAAGAAACATTATAATATGCATGAATTGTCCTTACTGACTAATTATTATTTAGTCATAACTAATATCATGTTTGTCCAACCTTTCAGTGCATATCGAATTGTAACATTTAAGACTACGAAGCTGGGTGATAAGGGATGAATCTCATGGGAAACTTCAGTTACCTCAAGACTAGAGATGCATTTCATGGACTAGTACCAGATAATACCGAAACTAGATTCATAGTCTTCTTTTCACTAACTTCATTCACCTAATAGAACTGAATTCTGCCCTAATGCTATCTAAAATCCTATTAAAATATCTTTAGTAAATCATATAGCTATTTCTAACATTTCAAACTTTAACGTGGATTCGTTAATATGATTTAATAACTGGTGACCAAGAAATTTATGAAAATTACGTAGTCTATGTCCATGAAATTCTTAAAACATTATTATTATTATTATTATTATTACTGTTATTAATGGTATTATTAGTAGTAATTTAACGGCTGCACTAAATTTGAAGTAGGGCTCACCACTTTAGTGGCCCGTAACTTGACTCCAGTTTGGACCAATGATCGGGTATCCGATGAAATAAATCTTCTTTTCCATTTTCCGTTTGTGCGACGGCGGTAATAAGAAGCCTAATACAGTTTTGCAGATGAATTTATTTCATGCATTTATTTAAGTAGACAGGGATGAGAACGAAAAGCGTATAAGCAAAGAAAAGTGAAGTGAACTGGAGCTAATCCTGATGCTCTGAAGCATGATTAAATATTTTTAGTTGGGTACTAATAGGCCAGACAGGTAATAAGCAAGTAAACATGCACAGTCGCTCAAATATACAATAGTCGATGATGCTACCGAATTATTACCAAATGGTCGATACAATTATCAAATAATTTAAATGACTAATCATTAAAGCTATTAGAATGAATAAATGTTGAGATACTACAGTGGTAGTAGTAGTAGTAGTAGTAGTAGTAGTAGTAGTAGTAGTAGTAGTAGTAGTAGTAGTAGTAGTAGTAGTAGTAGTAGTAGTAGTAGTAGTAGTAGTAGTAGTAGTAGTAGTAGTAGTAGTAGTAGTAGTAGACATGCATATTGAATTACGTTTGATGTTTACAGTTCGAATGATTGATACAGTTGTAATTTCCCAGCTAAATTAGCCCATACATAGTTGTAATCACGAACAAATCTTATGTGGGCTACTATTGAAAACTAGAAATTATTTGACGTAAGTTTCGTCCTATTGTGGGATTCCTCAGAAATGCACATTCATAACATTACTGTAGGGGATCGAACCTAAGACCTGAATTGTATTTCGTTGAAAACTAAGATTTTTACCTGAAAGATGGTTAAAAGTATTCTCTTTTTCTAGGAATTTGCTCTTGTTACAATAAAAAAAAATGAATTAATCTATACAAAGATCTTTCTATTTTGAACTAGTTATTTTCTAGAAACTTATAGGAACACCGAATATCTAGTTCATTCGAGTTAGAAACACTTTGTGAATAAATAACCTAAGAAATCATTCCAAGCACAACACTGGTTCATCTAACAATTCAAGTAATCACACTTTTTCACAAATCAATCACAATAATAATACAATTGCTGTTTAGTGCTTCCATTTAACTTGAATTTATGTAATTCTCAATTCAATGTTGCATTATCAATACTTACGATTGTCAAGTTGACACTTTAATTTAACATCTAGTTCACCTTAAAAACTAATTTGATTCATTTAAATTTTTAAAGATTTAATGATACTGAGTGGGTTTTTTTAAATCAAAAGTTATTAGAAATCTGAATACTTAGAGATATCAGATGATGATATCAACTACTAAATGACAAACGAATGAAATGAGATTTTCTTCCAAATAATTATTTCGTAAATATTCAGTTCTTGTTAGATAATCACTATGATATAACAGGTGTAGATTGCATAATTTATATTTGCATCAATGAAATTCATAATTTTTTTCCCAAAGTAACTGTCAATAAATCAAAAGTGATATTTTCTGTCACTCATTTAATAAATATCTTAAAGTACATAGAATACTTTCACAATTAAATACAGAGTATACATTATCATGATAACAAATTTTTTTAGAGGTTTTTCTGATTGACAAATTCTAATATTTGTAATAAAGTAATAACAGTTTCATACTTTATACTCACTGTATAGATCTACTTGATAGTTCCATTTAACTTGTTCAATTAACAGACGTTGATTTATACATATTTGTTTAAGCACAAATTATACCAAAACTAGAATTATACTTTTGTTAAAATTTCGTAGAGTACTGACAATTACGTAAAAAGCCTTATACCCTTCATTGTAGTTTTGATTTTCCCAAAAGAAGTTTATTGAGCACCACCAAATGACTATAATAGTCGTCTGTGATTGATTTATGAAATACATTTAAGAAGTGGAACACAGGTTTGATTGAATTATCAAGCGTTCTACCCATCAAAAATTATTAGAAATAAGTCAGTCAATAATAAAATAATTTTGAATAATTCTCATCATATAGTAATTTAAAGTTAAACAACTATTGGTAACCTTGAGATATTGAATAGTTGTTCTATCCTATGCTGGAATTCTTAACATACTTA